GGGGGGGGGGGGGCGGGTCAGTCTACTGTGCTGGAGTAGACAACACAGCCCTGCCTAGGGCTGGAAAGCATGCTGGAGGATTCTGATTTAACTTACACAAGGAAGGAGTCTGGGGTGGAAGTCTTATAAACCAGTTTGACCCAAGTCAATTAAAGCTGATACTGCATTCAACCAGGTTTATCTTAACTCAGTTTCAGCCATTTTGAAACTGGTTTATGTGCAGTGAACTGCTGTTCTGTTAGAGGTTTAATCTACTTTCTGATCACTTAAACTGGTTTATTTGTAACTAGCCCAAGTGATGAGTCCTCCTCTTTTATGGTTGTCAATTGGGGGTATGGTCCTCAAATGTATCTACTCTCATTTTGGGTATAGACTCATAGAAGGCTGAGTGTCTCTAGTAAAAATCATAGGACACCCCTACACTTGGTCAATATTGCCAGCCTCAACCTTTCAAGAGCCAATTTTTTTGTGTTAAAATATCTGTTCTAAACTTAGAAGATATAAAAAACCGGAGACATCAATACAACTGTAAAGAATCACTACTATCTGACAGGGCAAATAATTATTTATTAGAAATACATATTTCTCTCTTTAGTACTGAGTTGACTGTAATTAAAACATTGCTAAAGCATTTAGCATTTTCTTTAAGGCAAGCAAACTATCTTGAATTCTTCTTTCCTCAAATTTTAATGCCAGTTGGATAGATAGGTATCATGATAGGAGATTGCATCTGGGGAATGTTCTTGAATACCAGAAAGGGATTTAGAACTTTAGGCCAGCTCTCAAATGGTAATGCTTTATGTAATTTTACTTTTTCTTTTTTTCCCCTCCCTAAACAAGACCTACATCAGCAAAGCATAGTCAGGAATAGGCTTGCTTACATTTTCTTGCATTATAAGGCAGCCTTCTTTCGGCTAAAACTAAAACAGGTATCGATTTTCAATTTATATTTTGCAAATTTAAACGGAGAATGAACACCCGTCCTGTATAGCAATTGAACTGGAAAGGAATTTAACATCCAAAATATTGATTTGCATTTGCTTGCTTATGCACCATTGATTGTGAACTGTAGTTAAGTTGCCTTCACCGAAACATTGTAGTTTCTTTCTGTGTGAATTTGAGACTTGCATGCTAATAATTGTACAACAATGATTTCATGTCGCTTCCATATCAACCATACATAAAATTGGCCAAAACAAGGAAACCAGAATTTTATCATCTAAGCAGCACTTAACATAGACTTTCATGAGCTAGTAATTGGATTTCATATGATTGTGCTTCGATATATGTAGGAAAATATAAAGCATGTGCCCAAGTGAAAGCTTCATGCTGCTCCATCTGAAAAAGGAATATCAGGTTTCAGTATCTTTATCTGTAAATAGTAGTTAGTGAACCGTGGACCATTTATCAGGTCTGTCTTTGAAATTAGGATAGAACTTGGTGCATATAAAGAATCAGGGAATGTATTATATTACGCTGTGGTAATCTGATAATGTATTGATTTTAAAAAATTGTTCCAGGGCCAGTACTGATACAGTACATAAAATAAAACATAAAATAAACATTCTGGAACACGCTTCCTCAAATAGGAAGTCAATTCAGATATTTCTTCAGTGTTCTCTGCTGGTTACAATTTCCAGGAAGCAGGATTCATTGGATTAACCTGAACATGATGTTTTTCTCTGACAGACAATTGTGATGATCAGCTGGTGTCTGCCTTGCCTCAGTCATCATTCAGCAGTTCATCAGAGCTGTCTAGCAGCCATAGTCCTGGATTTGCAAGGCTTAATAGAAGAGATGGTGAGTCTTTTTATCTGTTGATTTGTGCTAAATGTTCTCAATTTTTCCAAAGGCATTTGTTACTTAGAAAAAAATAAGTAGGAAAAAAATAAGAGATCAGTGAACAGTTTGTGTGATATCTGCACAGAATGTTGAAATCATAATTTGTGAAAATATACATGCTTCAAAAGAGTTCTTTTGAAGGAGTGAGTCACACGCATCCACCAAAACCTCAGTAGATGTTAATGACAAACTACAACTAATGATAATTTGGGCCACACCTTGAGGTAAGAAGAGGATATGATTGAACTGAATGTGGTGCACTTTTATGCTTATTTCACTGATGCAAATATATAGATATGCAGCTGGTTACTGAACTCTCTCCTTTTAATTTTTCAAGACAACTTTTTCTCAATGTTTGGACTAGATCATGTTGGTAGATTACACCTGCAAGACTAAAGTTGGACTGAGGATTTAGTTTTCAGCCCTATAGTCAACATTAGGTACTGATGCATGGAAATAAATAAAGCAAATCATTGGCTTACTCTCTTAAGAGAGCTGATGAAGAAGGAATGATTAGGGTAGCGAAACCAGATTATGTTGGCCAATTCATTGTCATCACAGGTTAGCAGAAAATTATAGTATTATTATAGACATCAAGAAAAACTCTGCTTATTAAGACATCAAAGGCATTTAATTCTGCTGGTATATTTATTGTATAAATTAAATATTTATATATTATATATATGTGTATAATGTTCTAAAATATGAAATGTTATAACATGTTTGCATAATGATGAGTATGGTGAAATAAGTAGTGATAATACTTTCTGTTTCCAAAGAGCTTTCTATCTGTATTTTTTATGGTACAGTACATTGGAACTCATGCTGCACTCTAGCTTGGGACTATTTATAGTGAAGTAGAATGCAAAGTGCTTTATTACAACAATATGTACTTTGCAAATATGTTTAGTGTGAACCTCTGCTTAAGTGAGCCTGATATATTAAAAGGATTTCATTATAAAAGGGGTCAGCTGTATTCTAAAGTGTTCATAAGGACACTTACATTATGTTTGTTCTTAATCAGATTGTGGGATTGTCTCAATAAAATGCACTACTAAGAATTTTAATTCATTTTGGTCTATTGCTTGTACTACAAAAATTATCAGTGTCATATTAGAGATTTTTTTTTAATTGCCTTCCTCTACCTCCTTATGTGTTTAGGCACTCACAATGATCATAGCTTTACCTCTGACATCTTTTTGTTATATGTATATCCATATCTAAAGCAGTGGGTTGTCTAATAAGAGAATCGCTACCTCCGTACCTGTTCATTCTTTACACCTGAGGGTCACAGTACCCAGCAGGATGCAGATCTGAATGTCTTATTCAGAATGTCTTATCTGAATGTCTCTAACATGCTCAAACATTAAGTTTTTTTAGTAGTTCATGACCAGACCACTTAGTTAGCCACTTTTCCCAGGCATAGTTCAATTCTCCCAACAGATGGAGAAAAAAGCAATGAAGATGCCTTCTACCCTTCAGTAGATTATCCTTAATTTGTATTTCCTTTGTAAGCACTAAATCTCTCAGTGTAGAGCTGTGGCAATCATAAACAATTTCTCCTATCAACATGTTCAGAATTTCTGAAGCTGAATTTGATCTCCTTTTGTGCCTTTGGTGAAAAGTTGTGCAACCAGAGTCCATGTATTTGAACATATAAGAAGAGTTCTTCATGTAATACAAGTACATGCTCATGAGTGTGTGGTTCTGTAGGTAAGCAAGTATTTCACTTGAGAAATTTTTGCCAAGCTAACCTATATAGACTGAAAAAAATATTATATTTTTCATAGGGAATTTAAACACAATTTGGGAGCATTATGCTTGTGATCTCCTTCTTACAGTGGTAAAACAATATTGGAATTATAATTCTAATGTAGATTTTAATTTTCTGCCATAAAAACTATTTTATCCAGCATGAGGTAACTTTTATTTTGGACATTATTATGAATGATAAAGATGAATTAAATTTCTAGTCTGGAAGTTGATAGTTGCCAAGGGACCAGTGATCATGACCTGCCTACATTAAATATGGACACTCAGAGGACAGTCCTAACCAATGGGTGGTTCAAAAGGACAAAGCTAGTGAAAATTATGAGCAAAGATGACCAAGATGAAAAAGACACCTAGTTAGACAAAAGAAACAGTTTTTTAAAGAATAGTTTATAAAATGGTCAGGATTACTCCATCAAGAAAGAAGGAAAAAAATGGATAAAAGTCCAGTTTGTTTCAGTGGTAAAGTCAATAAAACAATTAAAATTAAATTAAATTAAATAAAACATTCAAAATGGAAAGGTACAAATATATCGAAACCAATGTAAATTAGAGGTATTCAAGTGTAGAAAATCAATAAGCAAACCTAAGTACATCAGGGTAAAATAGATGAGGTACAACAAGCAGTTATAAGTATATTAAGGAACAAAAGAAATTCCAGCAATGGGATAGATTCATTAAGAAATGAAGATGGTGAAAACATTAAAATGAAGGAGAAAAGGATATGCAGTGGATATTTCTGTTGTGTGTAGCTAGGAATAGAAGTTACACATAAACCAGTTTAAGTGATCATGAACTGGTTTAAACCTGTAACAGAATGCAAGTTCAGTGCATACAAGCCAGTTTCAAAGTGGCCAAAACTGGTTTAAGATAAACCTGATTAAATGTAACTAATTTGTGTCAAACTGTTTTATACAACTTCTGTCCAAGATCCCTTCCTGATTTCAGTTAAAGCAGAGTCCTCCCAGTGGGCTGTGGGCTACATTTTGGGCTGGGGCCATGAAGGTTGCACAGTTCCCTGTGCCCAAGCTGGACAGGGCTGTCATGAAGCTCCAGCCGGCTGGGTAGGGTCCTGCAGAATGGCCTGTGGGAGCAGGACACTTCCCAGCCCTATGTGTGACAGCCAGCTCAGCAGCACAGGTGGGAGCTGGCTGGGGAGTTGGCTTTCTGGGCCAGCTCAGAGGTGCCAGTGGGCCCCAAGATTGAAAGCTGCCACTACCACACCCCCTGCCCTGTCCAGCACCTGGGGCTGCAGGTGCACAACCAGCAGCGGGCTGGCTGGAGCCTGGGGTGTTTTTCTGACCCCTTCATCTCCAGCTGCTGCAGCTATGCCACTCCACTCTGAGTTGTGGGGGCAGGAAGCTTCAGCCTGTGGCTTCTGCCCAGTGTGTGGTGCTCCATGCCAGCTCCCAGACACCTTGGAAGGTGGAAGGCATCCAGGGGGAAAGTTCCAGGGACTGCAGCCAGAGCTCCATGTACAGGGCAGAAGCTGACAGACTGAAGCTCCATCAACCTCATCCTCCCCCCCCCACCCCCAAACCACCTCCCAGAGCGGTGCAGCAGATGGAGAGTAGCCACTGGAGGTGAGGGGAAGCTGGCTTGGTCCAGCAGGGCTGTTGTTCTTCCCTCACCTCCAGCTGTGTCTCCTGTTCCTGATGCACCATGCAACATCACTCAGGGCTAGGGGAGTTTTCTTCAGCCTGGCTGCTTGAGCACAGCTCAGGTTCAAGCCACTAGGCTGAAGGATGTTCCCCCAGCCCTGAGCAGGACTGTGCAATGTGACAGGAGCAGGAGCTGCTGTTGGAGGTGAGGGGAGAAAAACATACCTGGCAGGCTAAGCCAGCTTCTCCTTGCCTCCAGCAGCTACTCCCCCTCCCATTTCTGCCACTGTTGCACCGCTCCAGGAGGCAGCGGGGGGGGGGGCAGAAAGCTTCAGCCCGGTGGCTTCTGCCCCATGTGTGGAGCTCTGGCTGCAGCTCTGGATGCTTTCCACTCATACACCTTCTGCCTTCCAAGGCATCAAGGAGCTGGAGCTTGATGTGCTGGGCTGAAGCTTCCCACCCGGAATGATGTGGCATGGCTGTGGTAGTGGCAGCTGGAGGCAAGGGGGGGGGGCAGAATAGCCCCCTAGCCCTGGCCAGCCCATTGCTCGCTGTGTACCTGCAGCCCTGGGTGCTGCACAGGGCAG